GGCTGCCCCGGGAAGGGGTTGAGTCCCCACCCCTGGAAGGATTTAAAAGACGTGTAGATGAGGCACTTAAGGACATGGTTTAGTGGGCATGGGGGTGTTGGGTCGACGGTTGGACTCGATGATCTTGGAGGTCTTTTCCAACCTCAATGATTCTATGATTCTATGTTAACAACATGCTGACTGCACAACTGCAGGTGGCTTTGAAGAGCTTTTTTCCCAGTGAGAGCAAAGGAAAGCCAAAACACTCTACCTGTTATGGCAGGGTACTGATGGACAAACTCTGTCCCACAGAGGGTTGACATAGGCTGCCTCAGCCCAGCTGCCTTTCCATCCCTCTCCCTTTTTTGGCCTCCTCAGGAGCACGTCTTCAAAGGTCAGCCCTCCCATCACCTTCTGGGAGTGATGCCTCCATCCAGAGAGGGGGTTTACTGTGGTCACTGTGGGGATGTGTGGCATCTGCCATTTCATTTTCTCAGGGACAACAGCAGCATTTGCCAGTGACCCTGGTTTTCAGAAGCTTAAATAGGACTTACTCAAGAACAAAAGTCATAGCAGAAATAAACAGACTGTAAACCGCTAAACAGTCTACACATGTGATGAGTTTGCTATCAGACTTTTGGGCTCTTGGCCAGGCCATTTGGGAAGCTTGTCAGTTCTCTGCTCCAGAAACCGCATATCATGGCTTTGTGTTAGTGCTTGGATTAAATAAGAGTGACCTCTTCTCCTGTATCAGGCTGGTCAGTGTGTGCAGTTCTCTTCCTTTGATGCTTTTTTCAGCCGGTTCAAACCAGGGTATACCTCTCTTCCAAAAGTGTAGTCTTATATAAAGACAATTATGCATCTGAGGATTTTCTTCAGAGACTTCAGGTCCTGCTGGAATATTCTGTACCTTCCTCCAGCGACAAACAGACATGTGAGTCAGTGACCTTGAGTATTCCATATGCCTTTAGCATCTGGCACATCTGTATGTCCCTATGTTTCCAAGATCTGAAACCTGTCATATGAAGTATTTCTCTTCTCAGGGCTGGCTGGTACCCAGGAAAGGACCTCTCCCAGCTGTCTCCCCCTGGTATGTAAATGTAAGGTAGGGGAAAGAGGACACCTCAGCTCCTGCCCTGCCTGGGTAACCTGTTTTGTGCCAGGTTTCACTCTGCAGCACATCTGGTTTCTTTCCCCTTCCAGAGAATCTTGTGATGGGCCCCATATTGTGTCCTAGAGGTGGATACCCTGCCCAAATCACTTCTGGCCCTGTCTCTTCAGCTGCAGAGTAAGGGGAAGCAGAGAGATTAATAGTCATTCCGTAAGTTACCATCTGTTTGTTCATTTGCCCTATAGTTCTATGTTGTGGTTTAACCCCAGCCGGCGCCTGAGCACCACACAGCCATTCGCTCACTCCCCCCCAATGGTGGGATGGGAGAGAGAATCAGAAGAGTAAAAGCGAGAAAACTCGTGGGTTGAAATAAGAAGAGTTTAATACTTGAAATAAAATAGAATGGAATAGTAACAATAATAATAATGATAATAATAATAATAATAATAATAATAGAATATACAAAGCAAGTGATGCATGTTGCAGTTGCTCACCACCCGCCGACCGATGCCCAGCCAGTCCCCGAGCAGCGGCCCCCCCGGCCAGCTTTCCCCAGTTTAT